GTTTCATAAAGTTATATTCGGAAAGAATAAACCAGTTTTATTAAGTAAGGACTTGTGTCGCTAAAGTTTCGTTGGAACGAAGTTACGAAAAGTTAATTAAAAAACGGAGACGTAACATTATTATTTTTGCCATCAAAGGAAAATTTTAAAAGAATCTGTGACGTATAGGCCTAATGTATTACGGCCAATCAAGTAATACATTAGGTCTCTATCTCACAGATTCTCTTTTCAATTTTACCTTTGTTGACAATGAAAATAAATTTGTCACACACGTATAAAATAATTAAATTCATGTGTGTTCGTTGTTGTTATTGTTTGTCATTAAGCACAAGGCTACACAAAGAGCTATCTGTGCTCTGACTACCACGGGTATCGAAACTCGGTTTCTAGCGGTATAACTGTTTGTTGTTAAGTGCAGTGCTAGACAATAGGCTATTTCTGCTGTGCTCTACGTATTACCACTACTACTGTGCCACCTATTACTGTAGGATTTTCCTGGACTACTCCATCCATACCACTACAAAATTCCATTACAGAATTTGGGTGACCAATTCAATAACAACATTGCATTGATGGACAGGTACCATGTGAAACTTACCAGACTCAATTGGAAGTAATTTCCACAGTGAATGGATGGAATGGTGAACAACAAGTTATTCATCTTGCTGCCCATGTAAAGGACTAGCTTTGATAACATTAAGTAACCTTACAGCTGAGAGCTGTAACAACTGCCAAGAATTGGTAGCTTCCTTATTTAACAAGTATAGAGTGACATATCAGAATGAAGTATTCAGAGTAAAGTTCTAGAACAGGGTATGGAGGAAAGAAGATACCTTATCCGAATATGCAGAATATTTGAAAGGTTTGTATAATTATATAACCTGGATGGTTATTGTAAAATGATGGGTTTGTCGGTACGTAGTCTATTTATATATGCCATAACAAATGAGTTTATGAGCATTAGATTGCAATGTAGGTGTCAATCTTTAAAGGAAGCTCTTCAGTTACTGATGTAGCTTGAATCCATTAAATTTGCACATAAACAACTAATGTATCTCAAAGTTATAGGATTGTCGTATCAAGTAATATTGAAACTTCAACTCCCAATGACGATAGTTTAGAAGAACTGAAAGAACTAGTTAGACAACTAGTTATACACAATGGAGGAAATGAACTACAAGAGAATAGATGTTTCAAGTGTAACTTGAAAGAACATATTGCCAGGAGTTGTAGACAAAAGCCCGTATGAAATAAGAAGTCTTTCCAATGAATACCAGAAAAGGGAATTGCTATAAGAGTGAGAAAACTGGCCATTACAGCCGAATCTGTGAGGAATCAACTGCTGTTAATACGACAAAGAGACAATCCCATGAGCTCGAATAGATAAAAAAAAATGGCCAACCAGACATTAGGTTAATTTATGGGGCGAATGTAAGCTGAGAGTCTTTCATCTGCCCCAAATGAGATAAATTCATTATTCAATTAAAGAAAGCAGTCCACGAGTCCACAGGTTTATTAACAGGAAGTCTTGTTGATTCACACTGGTTCTACAGCTACAACAGTTTGATCTAATTTGATAGTGAAAGGTGAGAAGTGGTCTCGAGAAATGAAGAAAGTGGATGAATTGATGCAAACAGCAAGTTGGTATAAAGTTCCAATAAGAGGAAAGTTGGAAGTTATCCTTAATATAGGAAGCTTCTCTACACCTCATGATGTGTGGGTGATTGACATCAGGGAAGAGTGAATATTGGGAACTGACTTAATGTGGAAGTATGGGTGTGAAGTACCACCAACAAGTGAAATACTCATACTTATTAGCAATAAATCTACATCTAGTGAGTTGGGCATAATGGAACCAAACACTACAGCCTATCCTTAGCAATTATGTTTGGAAGATATCTCCTGGATCTGAGGAATAAAGATGCTGTATATGACTTTACGTGAAAAAGACTTAAATCAGCTACTGATAAAATGAAAAGTCGTTATGATGTTAATGGTGCCAAAACTGGATTCCATCTAGATGACATGGTATGACTGAACAATTCCCATCACAAGGAAGTTATAACTCCAAATATATGTAAGTTCTGAGAAGGATAATACGTAATAATGAAAGAATCAATGGTGTGGTTTACAAAATCTAGAAGGACATGTGGTTTAAGTCAAATATCATTCACTATGATCGTCTTTTGAAGCACATTAGGGAGAGAGAGAATGGACAACTTAGTAACTCCAGAAAATATTTTGTCAGTAGAAAGTAAACCTGCTGAGGAGTCCAGGGTTTCTGTCAAAACCACCTCCAAAGGATCATAAAGGATAGAGCCGCCAGTAGATTCATTAGATCACCTGCCTAGGAAGAATTCCCCAGTGAAAGGACAGCCAATGACAATAAGGTACAAAAGGTCATTCATTTTGCATACCATGGGCCTTTGAAAACCACCACCAAGACTTGAGGATTGGACAGTTTAATGTTTTATTTTTGTATTAAGATTGTTCAAGTAGTTCACAATCCAGGAAGGAGTCAATGTTGTATGCTACATTTACATTGTTTTAATTTAGATGTTAGCTAGTTGGGAGGTATGACATTATGATCAAGTAAGTTCATAAAAATAGTCCTTGAATATCTAGAAAATTCACGGTTATTCTAATGATCTAGTAACTTTTAATGATATCTAGACATGAGTACATTAGTTATAAGTATGAGTAAGCAGTTAGTATTCAGTATCTTTGTGTAAATTATCAAGTAACTGTTATTGAGGAAATATTGATGGAGTAAATTATTCAGTATCATTTAGTGCTTATGCTAAGCTAAACAGTAAGTTAGTCAAGTCTGTCACAAAATCTGCATCGAATGATATATTCCGTGATTGAGAAAGGTACTTTTCACAATATCATATGTTATAATGTTTACCGAATTTTATGTTTTAACCCAGGTCTCTCTTTAGTGGTATTCCTCAGAAATTCACACAAAATAATGTGTAAAATAACTAAAAAATGATTAACAGTTTTTTTAAATTAAGGTTAACTTGCAAGCTTTTCAGTTTGAGACTTGTGGTGGCTTTTGAAAAACGCCGCTTACGACAGATCTTTGAATTTGTTCTAAACATACCCTTTACAAAATACATTTATAAGGTAGTCACATTTTCTGAGAGATGGTTACGTATATTAAATTTAGAAATACTGTTTTTGTTTTATTTTGCGCTTAAAACATAAGTTTAAAGCCGTTTATAATCAGTTTGGAGTGATAAAAAATGGCCTGTATTATTGCAAATCTGTATAAACAAGACAGTAAAATAGTTCTAAGTTTTGTGGGACATAGAATAAAATGGAAGTTAATTCTAATATTTCAAAGTAAGCTTTTGGTTGTAGATTATGTTTGAAAGTTTTGTCATGTACAATACGAAATTGCAAATCACAATATTCCATATTTGGTTTGTTTATTTGTTGTTAAGCACAAAGCTACACAATGGGTTATCTGTGCTCTGTTTACCACGAGTATCAAACCAGATTTTAAGTGTTATAAGCTTTTAGACTTACTACTGACCACCTGGGATCATATTTCATAATTGAGATAGTTAATGCTGTGGTATTTCTAAACGTAACACACATTAAAAGTGTATTGATATTTGCAGCAGTATTGGTATTGCTGAGTAATAGAATATGATCAATTTAAAGTTTGGTAAAATCATGACTTCTTTTTAGGATTGCTACTGAAGTAGATGGATTTAGATTTATAATAATATAGTTTACAACAATTGCAAAACTAGATGTAAAAACACTAAAATTTACTATTTTTGACTGAGCATTTTCTGTATATTTATTCTTCGGACATACAACGCTAGAATCCGGGTTTCGATACCCGTGGTGGGCAGAGCACAGATAGCTCATTGTGTAGCTTTGTGCTTAATTACAAACAAACAAACAAGCAAACTGTACATTTATATTGCATCAAACATAATAAGTGAAATATACAGTATTACAAAGGTGAACTGATGGATAGAATTAATATGTTGCCTTGCACAATCTTGTAGAGTTCAGAAAACAACTTGCTGGGGATCGGGCTATTTGCATATTGATTATTATTGAAAATTAAAAATTCTGTAAGCAAACCCAGGTTTACATAAAGAAGTTAAGCTTATGAAAACGGCTTTATCCATCATTATTACAAGTTTCAAAACTGGTTATTAAAGAACATGAGTTAGCCTTGACTTAACTATTAACTTGTATGTAGTTTTAGCGGTTTACTTACATAACTAGTCCAAATACTTTTTAAATGAAATTACACTACACATCTAAAATTTATTTTCAAAGATTAAGATAATTATCTTTAAGATGAATTAACTAGTATCTAGACTTATATTTCTAGTTTAATTTTATGTTTTTGTTAAATCATCGTTAATAATACCTTTTCATGTTTAAATTGAAAAATTATAGTACAAAGAAGACGCCTCACGCCGTCACGAAACGGCCAAGTTAGCTCGAAGAGTTGGTTTTCCGGCCAAATCATCCAAGCCAACAATGGAGATTTATCGGCCTCCAGGTAAAAACCCTTTTCATAATAATGTTCCTCAGAAAACTGACATCAGCCTTTTTTTTTTCAGAAAAATTCGCCACCTTTATACTTCAGATGGAAAACAAGCCCTAATCTGATATCAGATTTTATAATATTTACAATTTTGACAATGGTCAATTCTTTATCAATTTGATTTTATTTGTTGAAGTTCGCGCAAAGCTACTCGAAGGCTATTTATATTAGTCGTCCCTAATTTAGAACTGATAGACTACTCAACACTACTCACAGACAACTGTTGGGCTTCTCTAATCGAATAGGGGGAGCGACTGTCAGACGCCCTCAGGGATCAGTTTGTTAACAACGTATATCTAACTATGAAACTTCAGTGAATAGACAGATTTTGGATCAAAATGTCCCGTTTCTGAAAACAGTAAAAAGATGTAATAACTGATTATTTCAAAGTTATTCTCCTCCGGTAAGTCAGCGCTTAAGTTTAAAGTTTGTTTGTTTGTTAATAACTGATTATTTCAAAGTTATTCTCCTCCGGTAAGTCAGCGCTTCAGTTTAAAGTTTGTTTGTTTGTTTGTTAATAACTGATTATTTCAAAGTTATTCTCCTCCGGTAAGTCAGCGCTTAAGTTTAAAGTTTGTTTGTTTGTTTGTTAATAACTGATTATTTCAAAGTTATTCTCCTCCGGTAAGTCAGCGCTTAAGTTTAAAGTTTGTTTGTTTGTTTGTTAATAACTGATTATTTCAAAGTTATTCTCTTCCGGTAAGTCAGCGCTTAAGTTTAAAGTTTGTTTGTTTGTTTGTTAATAACTGATTATTTCAAAGTT